TATCTTTCGTGCACCTGAAATAAAGTAAGGGCAAAGATCAAGTGTTAGTGAATTTGTTTAGGGAAAAACCAATAAACAACACATAACACATCTAATATTCTAGTACTCGCCAAATCATATCCCCGCCTCTATTCAAGCCTTAAAATTGAGAAAACGTGAGAATTCTGGTCTTCTAGCGACAGACTCGCCGTTTTCGCCCTTAACACTAGTAACAAGGTCAACATTATGTGTGTAAATTTAGAAAGTTCATAGAAAGGAATTTATTGTTAGGTTTTTAGTCAGGAGACTATTTGCATTTATAATTCCTGTGAAAGCGAATAAATATGTTTTCAAGGAAAAAGTACATTAGTATTTATTTTTCTCTTTTGTTTTGTTATCGTCAATCTTATTGATAGGCTATATTTCTTGTCCCACCCTATCACTCAAAGACTTGATGACATAAAATAAACCTGTCAGTGAAATAATTGTCGGTTAAATAAGGTGTCTATGAAGTGATCGCCTACAAAGTAACATCACCGGTGCTGGGCGTATACTATTAAAATATAGTGTCTGTGCCCGTACCCGAATATTGCATAGATGTTCATTTAGTTTGCTTAGAAATATGAGTCCTCACTAACGCTTGGACAATACAAAAGAGAAATTATTATTAACAATGCATAGTATTAGAATACGACAGACCAGAAATTATAAAATGATTTCTTTGGACAATTTGTGGTGGTATATTAGGATACCCCTGTATTTCGTAGTGCCGGGTTCAACGAATGTCACACATCATTATCACGTTACTGATCGTGGAACGTGATCAAATGTAATTAAATAAATAGATGTTCGATCTGTAAGATCGAACACACTTTTGATTCTTGGGAATAACCAGTTCCTAATAAACCATGCGTACCATCTGAGGTGTGTTGGTGGCGAAGAACATTTAAGAAGGAAAAGTCTGGTGTAATTGCAAGTAGCGAAGGTGTAAATAAATAAAGCGAGTGCATAAAACGAATAAGTTTATTGTCTGGCAAATTTGTGTGTAAACACAGTACATTCATTCACCACTGTGTCGCAATTTGCACTCGTTAATTCGGGACCTTGGATGTTATTGGACAATGTTATTCAAAAAAACGGGCTATTACTTCACCTATTAAACATCTAGGGTAAAGAGGACCGGGTAAAATCGCCACCCAAAAAAGTTCCGAAAATCATGTGGTATTGTCAATTCATCATGATTAGGATCATGAAAATAATATTTAATAAAGTATTAATTGATTTAGTAAATGATTTTGTTTTCTTCGATACTTCAAACTGAAAAACGATAGTTGCAATCTTTTAAAAATCCAATAACACAATATTTTAAAAATACACATTATTCGCCATAACCAAATTTCCACTAATGATAAGTGAAGAAAGAAATAAAATCATAAAAACTAATCAAGCAAATGCAATTACACCAGAAAATCTTATAGATGTTATTTTGAATGCTCTTCCGGAAGACTATAACTGATTATTTATTTGAGCAAAAAGTTTTATATTCTGAATCCAGAACGCAACAAAAAAATTATTATAGAAACATGATTAATCCAAATAGTAACAAATAGATCGATAATAAAGCTAATACATAAATTGGAGGATGATTATAATCATTTTAAAAGGCAATGGAATACTTAGAAAAATCGTAATAATAATATTTTCTGACTAATAAATATTACGTTTATCGAGTTAATTTGAAATAATAAAATGATTAATTTATTGCTTATTGTTATTTTTTTTAGTCTAAATTTTTTGTTTTTGTTCAAGTTAAATGTCTTTTTGGTGCCCAATATATTTGTCACGTGATGGTCGAAACTTTTTTGGGTGGGTGGCGATTTTACCCCGGTCGGTAAAGAGGCAAAGAAAATAAGTCGAATTAATTTTTATACAATATACTGTATATCGATACATATCGATTGATATAATATTAATATTAGAATTAATATATCTGATATTTGTAACTATTGTTACTACGTTATTGTAATCATAAACACAAAATAAATAAAAACGGCTGTTTTATTTTATTTTTTTTACTTGCCTTTGACTAGGGGGTATTTCCTTTCACCAGGGTTATTTTTTGAGTATATAAAAAATAATTGGGGTGGAGCGGAAGAAAGCGGAGTGTAAGACCTTTCTATGCTCTACTAATTTGAGTCGATGTCCGGCCCCCACCCTATAATTATTTAAATCGATTTTGAACAAACATATTCCCTGCAAAAATTTAATAAAATTACTAATAAACAATATAAAAAATGACGATTAATGTAATAAATGTAATAACGTATTATAAATAAAATAACAAAATTAATCGAAAGCTAATTAATAATTTGTTGTATCGATGCAAAAAAACGCCTGAACAAAAGGCCGCAAGAAATGACGCTAGAAGAAAGAGATTGGCTTTTATGACACCCGAAGAACAGTTAAGTTGCCGAAACGATGAGTCAATAAAAGGCAAGATCGGCGTAAACGTCAAATAATAGCTCCAACAAATTATAAAATGTCGACTGTTTATATTAACTAATTTTTTTTTTTTTAGAGGATCAAATATCTTGTTGCTACTACTTCTGTACATGCATACCAGCTTTCTAATTGCGATAAGGTCCTCTAAAGAAATTTCGCAATGCATTCTCTGCGCTTAAATTCAATTTTTAAAGAGAGTTTTCCTACGATTATATTACTAGACAAACAGGATTACGTACTAGATGTAATCTAGAAAAATTACCCCCAAAAAGGTTTCAAATGAAAATAATATGGATCCTGGTCTTCTTTTCAACAGTACATTTTCTTATAAATTTATGAATTTTAAATGGAAGTCTATGATTGTATACGTGCATACTACATTAAACAAACTTATAAAATATATTATAAACTTAAAATTAAACAAATTTATAAAATATATTATAAACTTAAAATTAAACAAACTTATAAAATATATTATAAACTTAAAATCAAACAAACTTATAAAATATATTATAAACTTAAAATTAAACAAACTTATAAAATATATTATAAACTTAAAATCAAACAAACTTATAAAATATATTATAAACTTAAAATTAAACAAACTTATAAAATATATTATAAAATTAAAATTAAACAAACTTATAAAATACCGTACTGCACTGCTTTAGTACCCCCTTAGATAATACAGAATATTTGATTTGTGGATTTCGAATCAACTTATGTTGCAACGGTAGAGATTCAAATTTTATTTAATAAATGGATCTAAATTAAAATTTAATCATTATAAAATTAATAAAAATAATATATATATAAGTAAAAGGAATTGAAGTTCTTATTCGTCAAATCGTTTTATACTGTAAACTTTTTAAATTGACCGAGTTATACTGTACAAGAATGTTTGTTTTCATTTTGCAATGCATTTAAAAAGCTTACTAAAATTTCTTGATATCAAATCTGTCATTTGACATCATAAAACCCTTATTTTATTACACAAGAAGATTATAATCTCTATATTAAATTTTTCAAGCTCCATTAAATGCAATTATCGGAACTGCTAAGGATCATCTTGGAATATTAATATTCAAATTTGCTGGTATGTTCTGTTGACAAAATATATGACATACTTTGTAGTTTATATTAAAACATATTGGTTCTTCAAAACTATGAGACGCAGTATGTAATTTATTTTTTTAATTTATTTATAGATTTTTGGGCAATACTATACAGTTACATTTTACAATTATTCATTAAAAAATTTGTACAAAATAAAATTTTCTATCTAGTTGTAGCAAAACTAATAAATTTTTTAATCAAATTCACAACATTTAATTTCAATAATTAGCTTTTTAGATAAAAACTTTAATTATATCTGTTATATGAGTTAAAATTTTTAATCTGAATTGGATAATATTCTTTTAAAAGTTATAAGTATATAAAAAGTTTTACAAACATAATTAGTATTACAAATAGGTAAATAATTTGTTGCAAATATAAAAAGACAAAATTGCTTTGTAGAAGTAGTTGCCATCCCAATATTTATGTTTGTAATACTTCGTATAGCTAGAATATTTGATTAAAATGTACTCATAAATAGCTTTTATTTTAAGTATTTTTAATTTTAAATTAAATATACATTGGGAAGTCTGTCAACGAAGTGACAGGGCGACCACTATTGCGAGATCAGATGACCTTAAGGCTTATCATAGGGTATAATTTTGTTGTCTAGACGTTTATGGTTTTTTTTTTTTTTTTTTTTTTTTTTTTGTGGTAATTGTTTTCTTATGATATCTGGTTATGTGTAGATAAATCGGGTTAATAGGATGATTACACATGATTACTTAAAGTTGGATCGTTATGATTATCAGAGAGTTGGTTGAATTGGTAATAGGGAGTAAGGAATAAGGGAAGAAGCCTTAAACATTAGGGTCAATAATGCAAAAGAGGAATGTCTCTAATTAATGCGGGTATTTGAATTTTTTTTTTTGCCTTAGTGGAGGAGGGTTACTTTTCTCATCGCTATCGTTTGCCATGTAAAGACTGGCTCTATCGTCCCTCCCGTACCCACCACATTCTGATTACTTTGCAGTTAAATACAGTAAAGTGGCATCGGCGCACTAATCCAAATAAGACTAGTAAGTTTAGTTCTAGGCTCCGCGGCTGCAATAGCAATGCAAGGACCTTTCGTGTTTGGCACCGAGGTTGCACTGTAGAGTGGCTCCACAGCTGCTTCGGCAGTGCAAGGACCTCTTCGTAGTTCGGCTCTGCGGCTGCTCCAGCAGTGTAAGGCCTTTATGACTCCGCGACTGACAGTGCAAGTACATTATAAAGATGAATTTTCCTTACATCGCCATATGCAATACGTCCGATTCTTGTTATAGCTATATGAGGCTTCCTCCGACTACCTTCCCTTTCGCGTGGGACATGCTGAATTGTCTTCCGATTCCCTTTCCCATAAGACAGATGGGTGTATCTAGGTTTCTGATTGTATTTTGTTCCGCGGGTTCGGTGATTTGTTGAATAGAATTCGCTAAGTTAGTTTAGGGTTTATATGTCCCTATGGGGGTATTGACATAAATTATTGTTACTGCCTAAGGGTAAAGCCTGTATAAGGATGGAGAACCAATATTCCCATGTGTTTTTCAGCATTGTTTTAATAAAGTCATTCGATCGAGCAATAATAATTGGATGGTTGTGTAACATATAAATCTTAATTTGGGTAGTCCAAATCGTTAGTTGAAAAGCCAACCAGTTGACCTAGCTAATCGATTGGAACCAATTAATCATTAATTAATTAATTAATTAAAATAAGTGACATCAGGTAATCGACAAAGAAACTGTCACGATCTTATGGGCATAGTAATTAATTACTATGCCTCATAAGGACATTTTCAAGCCGAAAACCCAAACTATGAAATTGTCAATACGAAGATGACAAGAGAACTGGTGTGAAAAAAACCACCATAAACGACAGAAGAACCAGTAGGAGAACCACAGTCAAAGCGACTAAAGAACAGACATAAAAACGACAAAAGAGCCACCACAAAAAACGACAAAAAAAAAAAGACTATCACAGAAATGAAAAAAGATTCACCACGAAAGCGACGAAATAATCACGAAGAACCAGTACGAAGCGATAAATGGATAGGCACAAAAATGGAAAAAATGACGAAGGAATCGTGAGGAAACCGTTATAGGAGCGAAAGAGTCGGTGGGGAGGTACGGATAACCACTACGATATCGATGAATTACAACCATTAAACCGACAAAAAAACCAAAGAACCACTACGAAAATCGTTCGCAAAAATAATAACCATTTATCGTTACACGATTGACAATCATATCTATATTCTGCACTGCCTTGATTTGTAAACACAATCAAGGAAAGCTACCACCTAAGGTAAATATATTCGTTGAGTCATCACCATACCGTATCCTTGACTGTTCGGCAATATAATCTTTTATCTTGGCAGTAAGGCTTGTAGTGAAATCGCATCCATTGTTAATATTATAATCATCTTGTCTCTCATGAGAATTTAGTTTAGCGGTTAAGTCGTTAAAGAAAGTACGCTCTTCATGTGAGAGGTCATTTGAAATGTGCTTAATTACGTCCTCACTTTCGTCTTCATTAATATTCATCTGAGTACAAATTTTTGTAATAACCAATTTTATAGCATCTTCAATTGTAAAGGTGACCATTTTATCTGTGGGATAATAAATTTTTCTTGATCAAGTCCTGTGTCTTTTATATAAAAAAAGGAGTTCAGGTTGCAATGTTTATATTACTTTAATTTATAAATTAAAAGCATATGATAAATGACTGTTTTGGAAATTTCAATATTTTCCCGGGCGGTTGATTGACTCCGGTTATTAACTAATAACAGTAATTTTCATGTAACAATAAAAACTAAAAACTTTGTAATGCTTGTGGAAACAAGAATTTTGATCAAATGCAGTATAGTTTATAAATCAAGGCTATAAATAAATTGACTATGTTGTATTTAACCAATAATGATAGTGGTATTTTATGAATTCTAACTGATATCTTACTTATCCATTAAATATTTACACTTAGTATCAACTAGATTCCACATCGGCGTGAAATCAAGAATGAAAACAAAGATGTGTTCATGAACAGTAGTAAATTCTTTTGATTAAATTAAATTTGTGGGCATTTTTGTATTTATAATTAGATATGTGAACTTTCGCAAATCGGCATTTCGGAGTAAAACTCCAGAATCATTATGTAACATTTATATACTCGGGTATAATATTAATGAGGGTAAAGTAATCAGGATGGGTACCATGCTAAGATGAATATACTACAGTATTAATTTAATTAAATCAGCGTTTAAAAGAGAATTTGCCACATAAATAAACCGATTGTAGTACTACATAGGAATTACTAAAAAGGAATAGCGTTATGCTAGGGGGACTTTATTCGTAAAACACAGTAATGCCGATAAAAAGGAATTATTGTTTTTAATTTCGCACAAAGCACAACTTTACTATTCAGAACTTTAGTACCGTAAGGAAAATTATGCAATCGATAACGCTATTGATCTAAATGTATATTCAGCCACAAACAAAAGATTTTCCGACTGAAAGTTTCTCCTGTAAAATCCGAAGTGTGAAAAAAAAAACCAGGGTTGTTTATACAAATTGTAAAAATATGAATTTGCAGATCATTTACTTATAAAAATCGATGATTATTAGTATAACAGTATTAAAAACTATTGTTATGAAAGATTTTTAAGTTTAAAAAAAAAATAGATTAATTACAAAATGTTATCTTTAGACTGATGCACCATATTGATGTGGTACTTCGAATGTGTAAAGATCTTAAAGGATTATCTAAATTGAAAAAAAACTTTTAGGGTATTCGTATTAAAGCGGTAAAACCGGATAACAGAAACAATATTACGTACTACAGTACTAACATTAAGTAATATTCTCATTATTTTGAAACGCCACTCTTATTGTGGGTATATTGGATTTTGTTGATACATATCTACTTCTGTATATTCTGTGATTGGTCAATGCATATCGGCCGATTAGATAGTTTTTGTTACACGAAACAATTAGCAAATTAGCCGAATGTTTTTTCGGCCGATCGATTAAAGTTTTAATTCGACATGATCGATATATAAAAACTACTTTTGTATCACATGTTAGAATGCTAACATACCAAGTATTATTAAATTTTCGCCTGAATGCTTATCCAACATGTAACATTGGGGTGTGCGATATACTATGTAAATCAAACCTATAAATGGTCATATAATAAAATTTATTAATGAAGATTTTTTAAATAGGTAATAGTAATTATAGCAAAATTTTAAATAGATAGATTTGGATAAAATTTTGCAAAGACCAATATTATGTCTCTACGAACAAAGCTATAGAGCCATTTCTTTTATTTAAGCATGAAAAGAATTTAATATATTGTACTATGTATTTTTTTTTCTTAAAAAAAGAATAACGAAATAGTTTCTTTTTTAAAGAAATGGCTCTATAGCTTTGCTCATAAAGACGTAATACTGGTCTTCGCAGAAAATTTTCCAAATCTGTCGAACCGTTAGGACTGCACATCTATTTAAAGTTTTGCTATAATTACTATAAAGTTATTACCTACTAAAAAATCTTCATTAATAAATTTTATTATATGACCACTTATAGTTTTGATTTACATAGTATATCGCACATCTCAATGTAACCTGATTGATGTGTTTAGTTTGTTTGTTAACTAATGAGCCTTAGCAAGAAATATTAAACAAGCTCTGATATAAGTTTGACTTACATATTACATGAAATGACACAAAGATTAAAAAATAGTGCATATATATGTTGTAAATAGAAACGGGATTTAAGTGAATTCGGGATTTCTTAGTTAAAATAGGGTTGGAGTCTAGGTTTACATAATAAATTCTAATCTAACTAAAGGATTCCGAATCCACTTAATTCTATTTCATTTACAGCATATATTAATATTACTTATATCCAAGTTGATTAACAGCCTTCAAATTGTCATAAGACTGATTTGCGTTTAACCTAATTTTTAAAGTTCCATCTCTATACAATTACCAATTATATATATTTTTTCACTGAAGTTTTAAGATCTTATATCATTCAGGTTAGTAAGCGCAGTTTATAAAAGTGACGAAACCTTTTCAATATATCCGTATCTTTGAAAACGCTTGAGAACCCAACCCGGTTTATAGAAGGCCTACTAACACCCAAGTGTTTAGCAATTTTTCGAACTGTTAAGCTTTCTAATTTTTTTCAATTACTGCATTTGTATTTTCCAACAAAGATACTTTGAAATATCATATTTCTGTATTCAACCATAAACACACGTAAGTACGTACTATATTGGAGCGGTAAATCAATTAAGTAATCAAAACTATGTAGCTATATAGATCGTTTTACTATAGTCAAATTTTAATCAGCAAAATTCAATTGTGTTTTTTAAGTAATGCTAATTATAAAGAAAACAAAGTTCAAGGTAGAGAATATTGAAACATAGCATTATTCTATATTTTGATAATAAGCTGAATCATTAGAATGGATCACTTAATGATGTAAGAAACGTTAGTCGTAATAGATATTCGTGTAACATAAAATCTGCAATATATCAAATTTTATAATTCCTAACATAGGTTTGATTACTTACCACCCCCAATACCGTACGTACTAAAGTCTTGTAATGTTTATACCAGTCACCGGACCTTAAATTGTATATATTAATTTGAATCTATTATGCTGAAATTATAAACTTAATCGAATCGGCCGAAAAATCATTCGGCCGGGTGTCCCAGAATTCATGAACAACTGTAAGTGGTGTTGTAAAAGTAACAAACGAATTACTTTGCTACAGCCAATAAAGCTTTTTTTAACATCTAAACAAATAAAATTATACTAAGCTGTAAAAGAAGTTATTGAAGATTCGGATGTTTCAAATGAAGGTAAATTCGGATACTTTTTGCTTATAATTAAATATATACGTAAATATTGAAATTTTCTGCATACAATATTTAATTAATGCAAAGCAAGAAGACCGTTCACTTTGTAATAAATTTAAGTACTGATAATCTAAATCCTGATTTGTTGATTTGGGGGCTCAATCAAATCGGCCGATGTGTGTTTATCATATAACCGAAGTTTTTCCATATATAGTAATAGTCCTGATGGTCACTCTGCATATTCGCGTAGCGCGATGTTTATTTATTTCGTTTAACGTCGGCTTTAATTCTAGTTATTTACAAACACATATAATTTATATAAAATTGGTAAATTATTGGATTGCGGTTTGTTTTACAGCACCGCCACATTTTACTGTTTCGTAAATACCAACTATATATGCATAATAATATAATTCTTTTTTTTTATCAGCTTAACTAATCAATTAAAGACTACTCGACTTTCGCGTATGCCTAAAAATGGTTAAGCCCGTGTACTTTCATCCCCGGTATTGCTGCCGCTTACGTGACACTCAACAAAGTTCTTTACGACCAATTTTACTGATTCATTTTTTTAATTCCTTATTTGGAAGATTTAGTCAATCAAATTTTTACAAAGTAAAAAAGAAGTAAGAAAAAAAAAAAAAAGGAACAAAGCAGAAAAATTAAAAGTGTGGAAAGCGCGAGTTCTAACCTATTTTGGGATGATAATGAAAATGTAGGGAGAGCAGTTTTTCCTATTAAAATTTCCTAATTTAACCTCAAGCTAATTTTAATTATTTAGCTCTAGATACACTTCCAAATAAAGAAATTGGGTCGGTAAATTATAGTTATTGCATGGGTATGTAGTGGAATAACCCAGTTACACACGGGTTCATATTCCGTGCCGAAGGCACGGGATTTAAATATTAACCCGTGTGTGTAAATGGGTTATTTAACATACCCATTAGAGTTTGGAACCGGATTTGTTTTTTAAATCCGAATTTATTTAATTAGAATGCAAACATCGAATTTAATCCGGTTTTAATATATTTGGTTCCTTCGGTTTAACCGGTTTATTATATCCGATTTTATGGTTATAAAAATCATATATTACGCAGCATATTAGATGTTTGATTAAACTCACAGTACGTCATGATACTTTTATAGTTTCTTATAAAACCAATTGACCAAATTTTATCTTATTGTATTGTATATAAATCCGAATATCTCCGGTTTTATTAAAACCGGTCTTCGTATTAAATAAATTTCATATTCGAATTCAGATTCAAATCGAATAAAATCGGTTTTAAAATCGAAGACCGAATACGGTTCTAAACTCTAATACCCATACAATAACTATCTTATTGCACGTGCCAATAAGTAAATGAAAAAAGCACGGGTTGTCACATAAGACCCGTGCAATAAAATTGGTCATTTTCTTTTTTTTCTAATTTAATTTCATAATTACTGTGACCTATCGTGTTTACAAAACCATGATTTCAAAACAATAAAAATGATATAAGAACGGCATGGGATAAGTTCTTTTTTTTAGCCATCTGATTTCTATTGCAAAAACAATATTGCACGAATTTTTATATTGTTTACAACAGAATTTTTGACCCGATGGCGCTAGAAGTCTATACTAGACAATAAAAATATTATAATAACTTTAAAAGCATTAACTTTTACAGAAACTTACTTGGCAATTTTATAAAGCTTATTATGAAGGACAAAGTTATCGATCAGTTTAAAATGGTT